TTCATCAGAAAAGCTTTTCTGATGAAGGGTCTAGGCCCGAAATGTCAGCCTCTCTGCTCCTATGATGCTGCTTGGCCTGCTGTGTTCATCCAGACCTGCACCTTGTTGCCCTTGGTAATAACTTGGACAACCAGATTCCAGTGCATCTTAGAGCTCTGCTTTCACTGACCATTTAGATAAAATGCTTTTCTATTTTTCCTACCAATTTCACACCTAATTTGAATTCAATAAAATATCTGGAATTAAGAATTAATGATGACCATGAATCCATTGTTGATTGTCAGGGGAAAAACCCATCTGGTTCACTAATGTCCTTTAGGGAAGGAAACTACCATCCTTACCTGGTCTGGCCTACATGTGACTCCAGACCCACAGAAATGTGGTTGACTCTCAACTGCCCTCTGGGCAATAAATGCTGCCTAGCCAGCGGCGCCCTCATCCCATTAATGAATAAAACTATTCTACATTGTACTCCATTTGCCAGATCTTTTCCCCACTCACTTAATCTATCTGTATCACATTGTGCCCTCCCGATGCTCTCTTTGTAACTTAGTTTCCAGCCTATCTTTGTGTCATCAATAAATTTAGCGATCATGCCTTTGATACCTTTATCCAAGTCATTGATATTAATTACAAAATGTTAAGGCCCAGCACTGACCTGTGACACACCACTAATTATATCTTGCCAACCATGAAATGACCTATTTATGGCTGTTATCTGTTTCCTGTTAGCCAGATTCACATTCACAGATAGATTCTTGTTAAACAAGGGGCTGATTAACGGGAATAGGTGAGAATGTGGAGTAATCAGAGTGGCGATGATTAATTGAATGGTGGAGCAGGCTTAAGGGGCAAAGTGACTTACTTGTGCCTCTACTTTGTATTTTAGGCCCAGCCATTTTTATATATTTCATTCATGAACTTCCCTCCACCATAAGGTCCAAAGTCAGTAGTTTCAAAATTATTTTCATAGGTTCATTCCATTCCCTGCTCCTCAGATACTGAAACAGCTGATGACTGCATGCAACAAGATCAACACAACATTTTATGTATCATAAATTTCCTATTTTCTTAGTATTATTTGTACTACAGATGCCAGCCAATGAACATTTCAATCAAGATAGAATCTAACTACTGCCCCTTGCCTTTTACTGCAAGGAGCATTCCTGAACCGTCCCCACCCACCACCACCCTTCTCTGCTTGGCTGAGCTTGTCTTCACCTGAACAACTTCTCTTTCAACTCCTTTCGTTTTCTTCAGGTCAGAGGGAAACGGCATGGCCCCTAGTTATGCCTGTGGGGTACGTAGAAGACTCCTTGTTTGAGTCCTATTCCGGACCCCACCCACAACTCTTTCTCCTATATATTGATGATATCATCAGTGCTGCTTCCCTCTCTCGTCCGGAATTGGAAAAGTTAATCGATTTCGTTTCCAATTTGTACCCTGCCCTCACGTTCACTTGGTCTATCTCTGACTTTTCCCCTTCCTCAACATCACTGTTTCCATTTCTGGGGATAGACTGGCCACTAATATCCATTATAAACCCCAACCCCTCGACTCCCACAGCTATCTGGTCTGTACATCCTCGCACCCTGCTTCCTGTAAAGACTCCATCCCATTCTCCCAGTTCCTTTGTCTCCGTTGCATATGTTCCGACGAGGCCAACTTTGACAAGGGAGCCTTCTTCCTCAATCGAGGATTCCCCAGCACCATTATTGACAGGCCTTCAACAAGGCCCGACCCATCTCCTGCACTTTTGCCCTTACCTTCTCTCTTGGTTTAGGAGGACAAGGCCAGGCTTGTTATTGTGAAGAATTTTCTGAAGAAGGATCCCGACCCAAAACGTCAGCTTTCCTGCTCCTTTGATGCTGCCTGGCCTGTGCTGCCTGGCCTGCTGTGTTCCTCCAGCTGCACACTGTGTTATCTCAGACTCAGCAATGGCAGTTCTTACTATCTCTCTTGTTATTCATCCATGTTGGTTTTCTCACCAGCTGTCATAAACCCAGTCTCTCAGTGGTGCTACAAATCCTGTTGGTGATATATATGGAAGTTCCCAATCTAGAGTTTGTTCTATGGCCCTTGCTATTCTCAGTGATTCATCAAAGTGGTATTTAGCATGGATTTCTCAGTTGAGGGAGGTAGTCATCAACAGGAGGTCTTTGCCCATGCTTCAGCTAATGCTGTGAGACATCATGGGGTTTTAACTCAATGTTTAATCCAAAATTGTGTCATGACTGGGTTGGATTTGTCCTGCTTTATGCACAGGACATGCCAGGGCAATCTTTCACATTGTCGGCTAGATGTCAGTGTTGTAATTGTAGCAGAACAGCTTGGCTAGGGAAGTGGCAAGTTCTGGAGCACAAGTTTTCAGTACTGTGGCCGGAACGTTGTCAGGGCCCATAGCCTTTGCAGTATCCAATGCCTCCAACCATTTCTTGATGTTGTGTGGAGTGAATCAGTTTGGCTGAAGACTGGCATCTCTGATGCTGGGAACCACTGGAGGAAGTCTGCACAAGAACTTTGTGATGGTCACTTTTACTGATACAGCCATGGACAGATGCATCTGCAGCTGGCAGATTAGTAAGGATGAGGTCAAGTATGTTTTTCACTCTTGATTCTTCCCTCACTGCCTGCTGCAGACCCAGTCTAGCAGCTATGTCCTTTAAGACCCAACCAGCTTGATCAATGCTGTTGCTGCCAAGCCATTCTTGGTGATGGACACAGAATTCCCCCAACCAGAGTACATTTTGTGCCCTTGCCACCCTCAGTGCTTCTTCCAAGTGACATTCGCCAAAAAAGAATACACATTCATCCCGAGGGAGGATGGTACATGGTAATCAGCAGGAGGTTTCCTTGCTCATGTTTAACCTGAAACCATGAAACTTCAAAAAGACCAGAGTCAATGTTGAGGACACCCAGAGCAAAACCCTCCTGACTGTCTACCACAGTGCTGCCACCCTTGCTGGGTCTGTCCTGCTGGTGGGACATGCATATCCAGGGATGGTGATGATGGTATCTGGTACATTGTCTGGAAGGTATGATTCTGTGAGTTTGACTATGTCAGTCTGTTGCTTGCTTAGTCTGTGAGGTAGCTCTCCCAATTTTGGCACTAGCCCCAGACATTAGTGAGAAGGACTTTACAGGGTTGACAGGGCTGTTTCTGCCGTTGTCTTTTCTGGTGCTTAGGTTGATGCCAGGTGGTCCATTTCTTTGTTGAGACATTTTAGCGATTGATACAGCTGAGTAGCTTGCTGGGCAATTTCAGAGGGCAGTGAGAGTCAACTACATTACCTTGGGTCTGGAGTCAAATGTAGGTCAGACCAGGTGAAGATGGCAGGTTTTCTTCCCTGAAGGACATTAGTGAGCCAGATGGATTTTTCTGACAATTGGTAATGGTTCCATAGTCATTAGTAGATTCTTAATTCCAGATTTTTAAAAATTGAATTTAAATCCCACCTCAGAGGGTCCAGTGTCATACACAGGCCAGACTAGATAAAGATGACAGATTTATTTTCTTAAAAAAAGTAAAGCTGTTAGTTTCTAAAGGACAGTCTAATAGCTGCATACTCCACAGATGTTTAATTAACTGAATTCATTGTGCATTTTGAATTTGCCTCTCCAGATCGTTAATCTAGTAACTGTACCTATTCTACAAGAGTATCATATAATGTACATTTACAGTTAAAAAGCATGTAAGCTTAGAATATATGATACAAAAATAAATATATTATGTATGCAGACTCTTGCCCATTTTACAAGTAAATATAATCATTGCAAGAAACGTTTAATACAGAATGCACAGTCAATAGGTTAAATAATAAACCCGATTTGTTTGTTACAGCCATTTCAATGGATGTTGAAATGTTTTTATTGTTTTATTTGGAGATGAGTTTATGTCTTTTAAGTCAATAAATGCAAGGACAATTTTAAAAATAGCTATTATGTCAACAATTACCACCAAGTTGGAACTCCACATTAAGGTCCACTTAAGGTCCAGATATTAGTACAGCAGTATTTAAGGCTATGTACAAAAACAGAAATTGCTGGTGAAACTCTGCAGGTCTGGCAACATCTATGGGGAGAAAGCACAGTTAATGTATTGAGTAAGGTGACTCTTTATCACTTGTTCTTCCAGATGGATGTGAAGAACAAGTTAGCTGTGCTTTCTAATCAGAGATGCTGTCAGATCAGCTAAGTTTTGTCAGCAATTTCTGTTTTTGTTTCAGATATCCAGCATCCGTAGTTCTTTGTTTAATTTAAGGCTGTGTATATCTGGTAAATGTCATGCATCAGTCTTGTTCAACTTCTGCTAACTTAAAATAAAAAAAAACACACTCAAATTGCTCGGTAAAAAGTCTTTTTGAATAGCCATTTAAGAGCCAGTTGCACAACATTCCCTTTGATGCTGCACAACTATAAAATACAAGTGAACTTGAATACCACATATTGATTGACAATGTCAGAAAAGAAAACGAATATGGAACACAAGGTTCAAGACAATTTTTTTTGTCAAAGACAGTTTAGAAAAAGAAAATGTTAAACATATGATCACTATGTCTCAACATGGTAGCTTTGATGGATAGAGCAGAGGATTCTAAGCCCCCAAAATATCTAATTTTATTTATAGGACCATATGTGAAATGACTAAAATCTCCAAAGAAATCATTTATTTTCTGGTGTTTTCATTGGGAATTATTCTATTTCATGATCAATCACATGTAAAGTTTCAATATTGGCCAGTAAAACAGGTTATTTCTTATTTGGATATGTAAAGGACAATGCTAAAATTTGCAACATTTCATTGATCAGCGTGCACGCTGACTAAACATTTTAAATTAATTGGTTAGCTTTCTCAAATTTTGAAAGGAAAGGAAAACAAGTTTCCTTTTGTATTATTGTTCTTTCATCATACCGGAACAAAAGCTTTCTACCTTTGAATGATCCATTAGGAAATATTTAATAAGAAGAAACCAGTCCAGAATGCAGGGCCTTTTTTGCTGTCCACAAAGACAAACACTTACTGTACATGTATCATAATATCCAACTGCAAGATTTGTTCTTTGCACTGAGGTTATTAGTGATCTTCTGCCATACTGGTTAATCTTTCAGCAGTAGCCTGATCGTCCATGGCATCCTTAAGATTAGATTCCATGTTATATCTTGATTTCCATTCCCATCCTTGTCGAATTCTACCTAACCTTCTTGCAAGACATGGGAACAGAAATACTGTTTTGCAAAGCAAGACTATAATGGGTAGAAAAACTGCAATAATAAATGTTGGAGGTGTATACCAGACGAAGTACTTGAGCTCCACCCATTTTCTCCAGGCATATACCAGAGCATGAAGAGTGCATAGGAATAATGCACCATATCCCATCTTTGACTGCAATGTAGACAAGGTACAAAAGAATTAAAGTGCTGCTTAAAAGAATAAAAAACTTCTTGATTTGAGTATCATAAACAAGTTCCATCAATATTTCACACTCCAAAGCAGAACGTAACAGGAAAAGAAACTTTATCTTCTACAAATCCAATCTGAATTAGTTTCTATTTATTAAGTTATTTCACATCACTAAATGCATGAAGATACCCAAAAAATTTACACACAATTCTATGATCTGTTGCAAATTTATAAGTAATTAACTTTGGTGGTTATAATAATAAGGATGGTTAAATATAAACATTCCATGTGCTGTTATCCAACCTGGCATCTTACTGACTTTCCTGAGTAACTATTATTTAAATTTCTCATTTGAATGGGGACTTTTGGAGAGGTCCTGGGTAACAGACTTGCCCAGTGGAAAATTCAGTTTCCTGGGCAATTCCTTCAGAGTGTGCTATGATGGGAAACTTCAATTGCACAACTCTATCTGCGCTGGCACAAGGACTGTCTGGACAGTAAAAAACCTGGGCCAAAATTTCTGTACTGTGTAAATGTGGAGGATAGTAGGAGCCTCTATCTGTCTCTGGCATTACGCTTGCAATCTGAAATTCAGCAAAATGATATACAATCTAAACCATGCCCCTCACCCTACTCCTGTGGTGCTACACATGGATGCTTTGATACAAGCCATTGTACATTAGTACCTGGATACACTGGAATTCTCTCCAATTTAATGAATTGCTGATCGAAGGAACTGAAGTCACAGCCAAAATAGCAAGAATTGCAAGACCCAAAATTCCTAGAGAGACATAAATTTCCATTCTCCAGACATCATCCTCAATCCAAGCATCTTCTTTGTTTTGTTTCACCTGTTGCACGAATATACAAATGGAATAATACCTTATTTAAGGCAAAAAGTATTTAACATGTCATTGTTGAAGCAAATGTTCAAGTGTTAAGAAAAAGCCAAGTACTGAAACCTTTAAATAACAAAATGTAAGTTATGACCAGAGGAGTGAGGAGAAAAACATGAAGCTGTTTCAAAAGCAAACCAAATGTGAATTTTATGTATTGTTCCCTCAAATCCCACATACCTCAACTACTTCTCAAATTAGATAAGTTCAACAGGTAGATTTTCAATGTGAATAGTTCTCCTTCTGGAATTTTTGAGCTTATTATAATAGGTTTGTAAGTATGCAGCAGTTACTTAGATCAGCTGTTTACCAGAAAGGGACTGTGTGTGACAGAGAGAGAGAGAGAGAGAGAGAGGCGGGTGGTATGGTTGGGAGCTGGCAAACTACACCCTACAATTAACCTGTGATTCACATCACTGGTGATCTTGTTCTGGAGAAGAACAGAATGATCTATTAAAGGTGAGAGTGACAAAAGTGAACAATCTGGGCCTTGTTACTGCACAGCTGTCAGCAGCACAGCATAAATTCATTATTTATTGCTGCTGCTGATTTGAAGTCTTGGTGGGGTACAAAGAACAAACAAAATTGCAGCACAGGAACAGGCTCTTTGGCCTTCCAAGCCTGCACCAACATGCTGCTCATCATAACTAAAACCCCCTACCCTTCTGGGGACCGTATCCCTCTATTCCCATCCTAATCATGTATTTGTCAAGATGCCCTTTAAAAGTCACTATTCTATCTGCTTCCACTTCCTCCCCCTGCAGCGAGTTCCAGGTACCCACCACCCTCTGTGTAAAAAACTTGTCTTGTACATCATCTTTAAACCTTGCCCCTCGCACCTTAAACACATGCCCCCTAGTAACTGACTCTTCCACCCTGGGAAAAAGCTTTTGACTGTCCACTCTGTCCATGCCCTTCATAATCTTGTAAACCTCTATCAGGTCGCCCCTCAACCTCCGTCGTTCCAGTTGAACAATCCAAGTTTCTCCAACCTCTCCTCATAGCTAATGCCCTCCATCCAGCCAACAACCTGGTAAATCTTTTCTGTATCCTCTCCAAAGCCACCACATCCTTGGTAGTGTGGCGACCAGAATTGAACACAATATTCCAAATGCAGCCTAACTAAGGTTCTACAAAGCTGCAACATTACCTGCCAATTTTTAATCTCAGTGCCCCGAATGATGAAGGCAAGCATGCCATATGCCTTGTTGATGACCTTCTCCACCTGTGTTGCCACTTTCAGTGACCTGTGTACCTATACACCCAGATCCCTCTGCCTATCAGTACTCTTTAGGGTCTGCCATTTACTATATATATTTTCCATCTGGATTAGACCTTCCAAAATGCATTACCTCACATTTTTCCAGATTAAACTCCATCTGCCATCTCTCTGCCCAAGTCACCAACCGATGTATATGCAGCTGTATCCTTTGACGGTCCTCATCGCTTTCCACAATTCTACCAACCTTTGTGTCATCCGCAAACTTACCAATCAGACCAGTTACATTTTCTTCCGAATCATTTATATATATTACAACCAGCAAAGGTTCCAACACTGATCTCTGAGGAACGCCACTAGTCACAGCCCTCCATTCAGAAACGCACCCTTCCACTGCTGCCCTCTGTCTTCTATGACCGAGCCAGTTTTTTTATCCAGCTTGCAAGCTCACCTCTGACCCTGTGTGACTTTACCTTCTGTATCAGCCTGCCATGAGGGACCTTGTCAAAGGCCTTACTGAAGTCCATGTAGACAACATCCACTGCCCTACCCTCATCGATCATCTTCGTCACTTCCTCAAAAAACTCAATCAAGTTAGTGACACACGACCTCCCCTTCACAAAACTTTGTTGCCTCTTGCCAATACACCCACTTATTTCCAAATGGGAGTAAATCCCATCTCAAAGAATCCTTTCCAATAATTTCCCTACCACTGACATAAGGCTCACTGGTCTGTAATAGCTGGATTATCCCTGCCGCCCTTCTTAAACAAAGGAACAACACTGGCTATTCTCCGATTCTCTGGGACCTCCCCTATAGCTAGTGAGAATACAAAGATCTCTCTCAAGGCCCCAGCAATTTCCTCCCTTGCCTCTCTCAGTATTCTGGGGTATATCCCATCAGGCCCTGGGGACTTGTCTATCTTAATGTTGTTCAAGACTCTCAATACCTCCTCCCTTTTGATCTCAACATGACCCAAACTATCTCCACACCCTTCCCCAGACTCATCATCCACCAAGTCCTTCTCTATGGTGAATACTGATGCAAAGTACTCATTCAATACCTCGCCCAATTCCTCTGGCTCCACACATAAATTCCGTTCCCTGTCCTTGAGTAGGCCAACCCTTTCCCTGGCTACCCCCTTGCTCTTTATATATGTATAAAAAGCCTTGGGATTTTCCTTAATCCTGTTGGCCAATGACTTTTCATGACCTCTTTTAGCTCTCCTGACTCCTTGCTTAAGTTTCTTTCAACTTTCCTTGTATTCCACCCTTGCTTCATGCGTTCCCAGCCTTGACAAATGCTTCCTTTTTCTTTTTGACTAGGCTCACAATATCTCTCATTATCCAAGGTTCACTAAACTTGCCATACTTATCCTTCATCCTTACAGGAATGTGCCGGTCCTGAGTTCCAATCAACTTACACTTGAAAGCCTTCCACATACCAGATGTTGATTAGCCCTCAAATATCTGCCTCCAATCTACATTCTTCAGTTCCTGCCCAATATTTTGTAATTAGCCTTCCCCCAATTTAGCACCTTTACCTGACAACTGCACTTATTTTTATCCATCAGTACCTTGAAGCTTACTGAATTGTGATCACTGTAGTGTAGTGAGGGTTGGTGAAGGAAATGTCAAACTAGAATTATACAGATGGTGGCACCATGTGGATCTGAACATTTGGGTACTTCTTTAGACTGTGAAACATTTTGCTTTCTTGCCTGCTGCATTTGCAAGGCAGCAGCAAGCCCAGCTATCATAGAATCCCTACAGTGTAGAAACAGGCCATTCTGCCCAACAAGTCCACACTGCCCCTCTGAACAGCATCCCACCCAGACCCATTCCCCTAATTTCCCATGTCTAAACCACCTAACCTAAACATCCCTGGGCCCTATGGACATTTTAGCATGGCCAATCCACACATCTTTGGACTGGGAGGAAACACACACAGACACGGGAAGAATGTGCAAACTCCACACAGGCAGTTGCCTGAGGCTGGAATTGAACCCGGGTCCCTGACGCTGTGAGGCAGCAGTGCTAACCACTGAGCCACCGTGCTGCCCAGCTACGATTGCCATCCAATTTTGGGAATCTCTGTCTGTCTCCAGGCCACATCAGCGCCTATGTTTATTGTTTCGCTGATGGTCTACTCAGACCATCAACATTTAATTATTTGTGACATTGTTGTAGACATTTTTAAAACACTTAAAACTACCAGTGCAAACAGTTTCTCCTGGGATTCTCTCAATCACCCGTTAAATTTACATTCATTTTTAAAAATGATTTAGGCCCATTCCCTTCATGACAGCAGTGAGTAACTTTAGAAGTATTTCATTGGCTGTAAAGTGCTTTGGGACCTCCAGTGGTCATGTAAAGTACGATATGAAAGAAAGTAATTCTTTTCACTTTACTAAAATTCCCCACGTTCTTCTTAACTTCATCAAGAGCCTGACTGAACTGTCCAAAAATGCCACTAAGCAAAGATTAGGCAATCCATCTTGGCATTGCCTTTGTACAGACGGTTTAGAACTCTATATTTTTCCCCAAATCCACATCACAAACCACTTCCTCCACCCCTTCGCATTGACCCTTGGTGTGACATATGTCCCTGCAAGAAGGACAAAACAAATCAGAAACCCAAGGCAATTAGCACAAAAGTACTGGAAATTCATCTGTATTTCCTTGTGAACAAAAATTAATTGAAACATGAGACCACATTAACCATGACTTGTAGTTTTTGCTACTCATCTCCCCTACTCTCTGCTTGTAAATCAGCACTCATGAATACATGATGAACAGTAGGACCTTGGGAAGCACCTAGGATCAGAGGGATCTTAGTGTTCATGTCCACTGGTCTCTTCAGGAAGTTATGCAGGTAGATAAAGTGGTTAAGAAGGCACATGAGATACATACTTGCCTTTATTAACTGAGGCACAGAGCAGGGAGGTGAAGCTGGAAATATATAAAATATTGGTTAGGTTACAGAGTATTGTGTATACTTTGGAACCTACATTCATCGGAGTAAAGTGATTGTACTGAAAAGGGTGCCTAAGAGATGTTGACTGGGCTGGAAAATTTTTAGTTATGAAAAGAGATTGGATAGACTGGGGCTGTTTTCCTTACAGCAGAGGAGACTGAGGGGGGACATGTTTGAGATTGTATAACATGATGAGGGGCACAGACAGGATTAACAGGAAGCAACCTCTCCCTTTAGTAAAGGGATCAATGACCAGGGGCATAAATTTAACTTAAAGGGACAGGAGGTATAGAGGGAATGTGAAGAAAAATATTTTCAACCAGAGGGTGGTGGGGAAAAAAAAGAAGCATGGTACAAGGACAATGAGGCAACCATGGCTGAAGTCAGGGATAGCATTAAAGCAAAACAGAAAGCATATAATATGGCAAATAGCAGTGTGAAACCAGAGGATTGGTAAGCCTACAAAGACCAACAAAGGGTAACAGAAAAAGAAATGAGGAGGTATGGTGGCCACCACCAAGGAGAAGGTGCAAGAAAAACTGAATGGCCTGAAGGTGGATAAATCACCTGGACCAGATGGACTACACCCCAGAGTTCTAAAGGAGATAGCTGAAGAGATAGTGGAAGCTTTAGTGGTGATCTTTCAGAAATTACTAGAGTCAGGGAGGGTCCCAGAGGACTGGAAAATCACTAAAGTGACATCCCTGTTTAAAAAGGGAGTAAGGTAAAAGACTGAAAATTACAGGCTGATTAGCCTAAC